AAAGGTAGAGACTGTGAAAGAGTGTCAGAAAAAGAAAAGGCTGAGATATCACTCCAGTACAGATATTGAGAAGACTTATGATATAGTTCATGTAAAATTAAGAAATGCAAATCAAACCAGACATTAGGTATTCATTTCCCAATAGCTGAGTTGCTAACTTGTATAGTGGGTACCATTGACTGTATATGGTTGACCGATGGGTTTTGGAAAATGTACCCCAGAACAGCAAGAGCCTAGGGGTAGAAGTTCTTAAGTCACATTTTCACACACCGAGAGGTAGGGATGGGAAAACGTCTTTTATAGCTACCAAAGTCGATTGCCTCAATTTTCACAAAATGGACGTTTTCTGACTTCAGTACTATTCGCACTGCGGTCTACTCCATGTACAGTATGGAGGTGGTGTGATAGGAAAGGACTACACAGGTACCCCTGAGGTATGACTAGAGCCTCGGCCACATTGCCTTTGGCCATCAAGTCTCCTCCTGGCTGTGTGTTATTAATAGATGAAACTTTTTTATTTTATCAAAGGTCAGGCAGCTGCTCACAAAGAAAGACTGCATTCAGATCAGAAAGTACAGTTATTCACTGCAGTGTGTGTGGGTTGTCATTCTGCTTGGCTGTTGAGCGCTGAGTCAAATCAAACAGTTATATTAGAGGGAATATTGTCAGATGTTCCGAAACGCACTGGAAGTTAAATTAAATTTTGGGAGATGATATTGCCTGTGAAAATTAAGACAGCCCCTCCAGTGGTCCGTGCTCAGCCCTGGGGACAGCCATGATCATTCATTTAGTCATCATTTGTGGTCAACGCAACCAAAGAGGCCACAGGTCAGGTGCAACATCAGATGCATAAATCAACAAACTGACGCATGCTTTATCCAAGCTTCTGACTAATGCCTGAAACATCTTTTTGCCTGGAGGTGGCACATCACAGCGCACACACTTCAAAAGAGCACGAGAGGGGTTTATACTGGACACATCTACGGTTGCAGTTTTCTCACAAGACGTCAGGTGGCAGTACTAGGAAGTAGGAATCAGGCCTCCGGATAAAAAAAAGAATCCACTCACCAGCTTGGCTAGTCTTGCTTAAAATTTGTCCATTTTGAAGCACCCCGCACGCCAGACTAACAAAATTCAGAAGTTACGTGGAGAAACTGCAGTGAATATAAACCTAGCATAATTGTGAAACTGAATTCTTCATGAAGAGCCACTAGGGAACTTTCCACTAGGGAACTTTCCAACTGCATGGGCTCTTGAAGTGGGCATGGGAGTCAGGAGGGAGCTCTCCTTGGACTCCATTTTGTGCCTTTGTAAAGTTATTCTCATGGGTCAAAGGGGACCTTTCCCTGGACTCCATTTTGTGCCTTTATAAAGTTATTCTCATGGGTCAGAGGGGACCTTTCCCTGGGCTCCATTTTGTGCCTTTATAAAGTTATTCTCATGGGTCAGAGGGGACCTTTCCCTGGGCTCCATTTTGTGCCTTTATAAAGTTATTCTCACGGGTCAGACGAAATCTTTCCCTGGACTCCATTTGGAGCCTTTATAAAGTTACACATGTGAGGTAACCATCAGTGGGGGTCAGGAGGCAGAGGTCATTACCTTGACCTTATGCGCAGCCACATTACCGGTCAGCTTCTCCGGCTTGTAGTACGGGGACCCGTGAGCAGCAAACCACACGCTGAGCTCTCGAGCTCGCTGACTGCTGTTGGCCATGCTGAACACATGGACGTTCTCCTGTTCTGTCTGCAGCACCTCCGACAGGAGCCTCTGGAGCTGAACGTATCTGCTCTCCCGTCCCTCAAGGCCGGTAAGGAACTCCTCTGCGGTGATGTCTACAGAAAGCAACAGAGAACAAGACCAGAATATTGTGTCTGTCGACATAGTTTACAAAAGAAAAAATTGTTCTTTTCCTCAACCAACATAATACATTGCACAGTTATATCCACTGCTATATATGACTGGCAAACAAGTAATACACAATACCTTCACTAGCATAAACCTGACTGAGTTTGGTTGGATGCATAAAGTGCTGTCCAAGTCAATGACTGATTAATAAACTTTTGGGAACCTGATTAAAAGGTTCAGTCTGGTTTAATCTTTATAACTTTTTGACTTTTGTCAAACTAGAAAGAATTGTATCCATGGGACACATATGCCTCTGCTACTGAGCTGAGTTGAATAAGGTGATGAGGTATGAGGTGCACACCTTCAGGAAACTTATAAGACCTATGCACAAGCACAATGAATTTTGTTCATTAGCTTTTCAGGAGAAGGGGGTATGCAACATCCCCCTTCAAGTGGGATGGACAAATGTACAAACGATGGAGGGTAACCCTAAATGCCCCCGGCCATAAGTGTAGCGGAGACATGAAAGCCATAGAGAGCTGTGGATTTATAGAGTCTACAAAGCTACCTCTTCAAAGGTCATAAGGAGGTCAGCCCAGGCAATATCAGAAGAGGAAATTGATGCTATACCCTGAGACCAGCCCTTGAGATAATACTCACTGGAAAAGCGCAGAGAGCCAGCGTTCTGCACGGCCTCCTCCGTTAGCTCCTTGATGATAACCTCCACGGTGGAGGTCACATCTGGCCAGATCTTGTCCATCACCCGGACCTGCAGGCTGTACATGCCAGCTGGGGTTCCCTCTCGGACGCTGAGCTGGCCTGAGGTCTGGTGCAGGATGAAGTGCCTGAGAGAGACGAAGGAAGCAAGATGATTCCAGATCAGTGGAACTTTACGCTAAGCAGAATGGCGACGGCGATACCAGCACAGTTCGACTGTAACGAAGTACGACCAAAAATACAAGAGAGGAAAAAAACACCTTGATATACTGCAGAGGTGTGGAGACAATCAGGCAGCCACCTTTCAGTGTTATGTCACCCGATGCAATTCTGACTTCTTCATAATTACACATCTATTTCTGTAGTAGCTGTGTGCGGACATAACAACTGCCTAAGTAACTGCACTTCTCATTTAGCCCCTAAAACTCTAACTTTTCACTTAAATTTTCCCTTAAGTACTTTCATAAAGTCAGAAAAAGCTTTTTTTGCATGTAGTAGGACAATGTCACGTACATATTCTGTATCTGCTGGTTGCTGGATGAAAGGAAGCCTGACGTTCCACAGGTTTGAATGCAGCAGCTGCATTTTACGGATCTATACATGGGTCTGTGGGTTTTATGGGGTTAAGGTCACAATAATGAGATCAGCAGGAACCACGACTGTGTTCACATCCGCGCAAAACCTGGCTTTTATTGCCAGGACAGTGGAGCAGCACTCCTGACATTACAGTCCGAGATCATTACACAGGTGTGAAACTAGCATGTCACGGAGGTATCAGAGCGAGAAATCTTTTAATACAGAACAATTAATTACGAATGGCTAATAATGAGGGAGGTGCGGTAGCACAGTGGGTGGAGCTATTGTCTCACAGCGAGAAGGCTGTGGGTTTGTATCGGGCCTGGGGCCTTTCTATGTGGAGTTCTCCAGTTCTCCCAATGTTGACATGGATTGCTTCTGCATACTCCAGTTTCCTCTAGCAGTCCAAAGGCATGCATGCCAGGTGAACTGGAGACTCAATTCTGTCCATAGTAGGAGTGCGTGACTGTGAACCTGGCAAGAGATTGGTGGACTGTCCAGGCTGAATGCTATTTCTGCCTCTTACCAACTATATACCAGGATAGACTCCAGCCCCCTGTCACCCTGCCCAGGAATAAGCAAGTCATGGATGGAAATTACAACAAACAAAGGACTCCACTATGAGAACCGAGAAGGAGCTCATACTATCCCAGAGGAAACGAAAATCAGAAAAGAGCTCTCAGAAATGTTTCATTTATTTCTCCTAGACAACTATGAGATCTGTGTGAAACCCGAGTGAGACTATAGCTTATTTCTCCTGTTTCTCACTTTTTTCTCCAGAGCAAAAAGACAGACAAAAGCTCAAATTAGCCTCCTTTGACGTTTCAGAAGAGATCTCATCAAAATCTCTCAAAAGCTCAAATTAGCCTCAGATTTTAAAAGAGCTCAAATTTTTAGAGCTCAAATCCTCCTTGACGTTTCAAAAGAGATCTCATCAAGCTCTAAAATCAGTCTCAGATTTTAGAGCTCAAATTAACCTCCTTTGACGTTTCAAAAGAGATCTCGTCAAGCTCTAAAATCCGTCTCAGATTTTCTCCACTTTAGCACCTCATTTAGCACCTGTATTCTCATCCTAGCCTTTATAAGTCTTTGTTAATTACTCAGTTCATGCATCTCATGGTGATCTCAGACAGAGCAAATAAAGAGCTCTCTGCAAGCACTCAATGAATTCTCATCCAGACATTAATGTTTTGTTTTTTTTAAACTGCACTCATGAATATCTGGTGGTAAATAAATCTATAGAGGGAGCTGCATGACTAAGATATTCCCTCAAACCATTGCTAAGAAAATGTGAACACATATGCAGAGACTTCTCATTTTAATTGATATTACATGCTTGTCTACAACAAAAAACAAACAACAAGGACATCTGAAACAGAAGGGTTACATAACACTGACAAGCAAATATCACAATATTTTTGACTGGATATCTCATCAACATTTTGGGGGTGACTTCAATAATACATCCACATGGAAATTTTCTCATAAGTAATGAGATGTTGCAATTGCGATATTATTCCTTCTAAAAAAAATTGTAAATCATAACTTTGCATTCAAATGATTCATTTTCGTGTTCAGCCCTATATGTGGTTGGCAGGTAAACATCCAGAAAGGAGCCTATTGTTTCAAATATAGTGCCCAAGCATTCGGAAAAATCTAATAAAGGGTTTTTCTTACAACATTGGTAAAAGTGTACTTGATTATTGTTTTGGTTATTACTGTTGGTTATTACTGTGTGTGTGTTTATATATTTTTTGTGTATATATAATGTATACATAAAACATTTTTTTATATAAAATATACGTATGTGTATGTATATATATATATACACACAAGTTATATGTACACTATGTTATTATAAGGGCGGCATGGCTCAGGAGGTAGAGCGGGCGGCTTAGAAAGCAGAAGGTTCCCAGTTTGATTCCTGGCTCCTCCAGAGAACGTGCCAAAGTGTCCTTAAGCAAGACACTGAACCCTCACTGCTCCTGATGTGTAGGTTGGCGCCTTGCATGGCAGCCCCCGCCATCAGCGTGACCATAAGGCAGAGTTGTAAAGCGCTTTGGGATCATGTCATGTGACTAGAGAGCTATATAAATGCAGTCCATTTACCATTTTGTTCTGGCTCAACTTATTTCTCCTTGTGAATTTTAGGAGAAACATATGAGACAAAATTGAGCTTTAGCAAGGTATCTCCTTTAAGTCTCAAACATGACTCCTGTAGCTCAGTGTCCTGTCTCACCTATTTCTCCTAGTGAATTTTAGGAGAAACATATGAGACAAAATTGAGCTTTAGCAAGGTATCTCCTTTAAGTCTCAAACATGACTCCTGTTGCTCAGTGTCCTGTCTCACCTATTTCTCCTAGTGAATTTTAGGAGAAACATATAAGACGAAGTAGAATCTTAAATGAAATTAAGATGAGGTAGAACTGAGAATCACAATTTTGTCTCCGGAGCTGTGGAAAAGCCAGCTTTGAGCAGTAAAATTTTCCTCTGGGATAGTATGGCCTCAGAAAACACACACCCAAGTGTACATGGTTATGCCTGCTCTGACTGTGTCATTTACTCTGTAATGCTATTTCAGGGGACAGACTATATACAGAGAGGGAGTTAAAGTGAGGCTGCTGTGTGTTTGTTTGTGGTCGTTTATCTTGAGAAAGGTCACCAAATTTGTGCGAGCACATGATCTAATTTCAGTTTAAACGTCAATTAAAGTCAAGCTCATGCAGCGGGGATTGAGCTCAGTATCGGCGACCTTAAATCACTCAGAGTCAGATGAAGTAATTAACTGTCAACTAAGCAAATAAAGCCCTGCCAGGATCAAAGTCGAGCGATAGAGAACAGAGGGGATTTCCAAAGTGACCTAAGCTAGCAATCGACAAAACTTGCGAAAGAGCATAGCTGTAATTACTACATTATCTAAATTAACTGGGGCAGCCACACTTTTCAATAAAATTTCAAACCATTTTGATAGTCATTAAAAAAATCCTATGTGAATTGCAATGTGTACAGTAGTGTCACATCTTTTCAACTGTCTCGACTTTCCGCGTTGTTTGACAGTTATTAATGAACCCAATTTCCCCACCAGATTATAGATGACTCATTAGAGGTAGAAGCTTGATTGTACACTGCAAAGGTGCAATGGATTCATAGTAATGAGAAAAAGTCTGCCTCTTCGCAGGTGAATTTCTAAAGACAATTCTTTAACTATTAATGTCCATGCTCTGTGAAAACTGTCAGCCCATCATCGCACCGTACGCTCCTACATTAAGTGGCAGGCTTCGTTGAAGGCTTATTTTAACTTAAATAAAAGATCAAAGCACCTGGAGGAAGGTTTGCCTTCAAATCTGTAAACCTTCTCATTCCAGTCGTCAAGGTCAGGGGATTGAACCTGTCCAAGTACAGTTGTTGGAAGATTGCCTGGGGAAAATACATCATTAGGTTACTGATCAGAGGCCCAGGATCAACTACCATACACATGCAGCTCTGAAACACTGAGAGAGAAAGAGAGGCATCTCTCTTTGAGATAATACAGGCACTGCTTTAAGTATAAGCACTATTAAACATTACAACAAGAATAAAAAAAAACGCATTAGTATGCAGTACCCTCATTTCTCCAACAGCAAAATTGTAATACTATAATCTGGTTAGGCATGAAATCAACAGCTTTTTAAATTTGTCCAGTTTGTATGCCTCTTAAACCTGGGACTTAACTTAAGCAAATTGTTTGCTTCATGGAGTATTTCAGATACAAGGTGAATTTTCATTAACTGGTTGGAATACCCCCAAGAAACAATACAACACCGTAGTTGAATGTTCTTTTTTTTCAGAATAACACAGCAGCGTCGCAGATACAACAAAATGCTAATGGAATGATGGGTGTGCAAGCAGAGCAATGACTATAGTGCTGAAACGTGTATGAGGCCTTTACCTTTATGGAGGCATTTTGGCTCTTACCTTTATAGCTGTACACAATGAATTCAGAGTGTCCAGCCGAATGTGGGTGGTCATTCCTGTCTCCAATGGTGACAGTCAGAGTGCTGGTGGAGCTCATGGGCGGAGTCCCGCTATCAATCATGAGAATAGGCAGCAGATACTCCTTCTGTCGTTCGCGGTCGAAGGTACGTAAGGCGGTGACCAGAGAGCTGCCGTTCTGCAGGTCAGTGAGGTTGAAGTTGGTGGCGTCACTGGTCAGCAACAGGAGGCGGATGGAAAAGGGTCCGCCGTTAGGAGCGGTGTCGCGGTCGGCGGCGTGAAGCAGGACGGACGTATCGTTCATTCGCACGACCTGGGGGGCTGCAGCGTTTTCCCACACTATCGGGTGGTAGGGCACCTCAAACTCCGGACCGTTGTCGTTCACGTCCTGCACGGTCACCAGGACGATGGCAGTGCCGGTTAGGGCTGGGCTGCCCATGTCAGTGGCGTGGACCATGAGTCGGTGTTGCGCAATCTTCTCCCGGTCCAGTTTGTCTGCTACCACCAGCCAGCCACTCTTGTCCACAAGAAACTGCTCAAAGGGGTCCGACTCCGGCGCGATGCTGTAGAAGAATTTCCCGTTCTTCCCCGAGTCCAAATCCACAGCGGTAACCTGAGCCACAATGGTTCCGATTGGGACATCCTCAAACATGCTTCCTGACTCATAGAACTGGGGGAAGAACACCGGAGCGTGGTCATTGGAGTCCTCCACCTGGATCACACAGTAGGCCAGGCTGAAGAAATCCGCGTCCTCCACTTTGACGGTGAGATTGAAAGCGCGTTCATGGGGCTTTTCGAAGTCGATCTTCTTTTTCAGTCGGATAGTGCCCCGCTGGTTGATCTTATCAGTCTCCATGAAGAACTTGCGGTCCTCGTCTCCGCCTACGATGCTAAAAGTCATGGCTGCGTTCTCGCCGGCATCGCCGTCTGTTGCGGACACTGCTAGCACCTCGCTGTTGATGTCCAGGTTCTCCGGCATAGAGGCCGCATAGATCTTCTGCGTGAAGATCGGAGGGTGATCGTTGATGTCTGACACAACGATGGTGGCAGTACCCGTCCCGGAGAGTCCCCCACCATCCTGGGCCTCCACCACCACCAGGTAGCGATCCTCCACCTCCCGGTCGAGCGAGCGAAGCACGGTGTAAATGGTGCCCGTGGTGGGGTTGATGGAGAAGAGATTGAGGTTGATTTCGTTACGGACGTTCTGGACAATCTGGTAGGTGAGGACTGCGTTCTTCCCAGCTTTGGGGTCGTCCAAGTCAGTCGCCCGCATCTCCATGATGGAGGTGTCAGCCGGAGAGTTCTCTGGCACGTGTCCCACAAAACAGCCGTCTCCAGCACACGAGAAGACAGGCGCATTGTCATTCACATCACGCACATTCACAATGACATCGGCGAAGCCAGTTAGCCCCGCCCCATTTTCATCTGTGGCCAGAACCAGGAAACGCCACGCTGAGCGTTCTTCTCGGTCCAGCTTCTTCTGCGCGTGAATGCGTCCGGTCAGTTCCTCGATCGTGAACTCGCTCCCAGCCCCCTGACCATGAAGCGAATACCTGAGGGCACTCTGATCTGCCTCTTGGTCTGGGTCAGTTGCTGAGACCTAAAAAAGAAGTCGAAACTTTCAGAATTTTAGAATCTTTAGGACTCTTTCTAACATGCTAATCAAGCAACTCATCCTGCTAGTGCCATTCGGAAGCAAAAAAAACAAGCGGAAGATGCCAAAGGCTTCAAAATATCCATCAAAGAACTTAGGGAAACAATTAAAAGTTAATAGGCGCAGCAAAGAAATTCAGATTTTTCTTTCTATTTTCACCAGAGGGTTTGTTTACACAAGGCTTTGAAGTTTTCTTCTAGTTTTCCTGACAGTACAACGAGAGACAACATTGGGGTAACATTAAAGACGACGACAGCTGAAGCTGAGCGAAAAAGAGAGAATTCATTCCAAATTGGGAATTCTTGAAAACATGCAAGTGTATTAATAAACATAGCTAAGTACTTCAAGGGAGTACGCCTGAAATCTGAAATAATTTCATTCTGCGGTGTGCAGTGCAAATGTACTTGGACAGTGATCCAGTTTTTGCTCTTTGGTTCTATACTTCAGCACTATGGATTTGAAAACAATTAACAAGAGAATAAAGTAGAACCTATCAGCTTTAATTCAAGGGTATCTATATCCACGTTGGAAGTTCTTCCCTTTTTATTTCGTGTCACTGTCCAAATACTGACAAAAACTTTACATTTGCCATTTGGTTAAAAATTCCTTAGTTCACCTATTCTCTTGTATTTTGGCAAAGAAACTAGTCCTAGTATGGGTCAACAACAGTTCCTGGTCTCTGACCTGCAGCACCAGCACAGGCAGGTCAGTCATTTCCTCTGTGATGCTGGCGTGATACTCCGTCTCGGTGAAGATGGGCGCCTCGTCGTTCTTGTTGATGACGTTGATGACCAACAGGGTTTGGTTCTCCCACTTCCCGTCAGAGGCCACCAGATGCAGTTCATACCGCTGCTCCTTTTCATAGTCCAGCCGCTGGGCAATGAAAATAGTGCCCACCTCGGGCTCCACATCAAACGTGCCCCTGGCATTACCTGCGGTGATCTGGTACCGCAGCTTCGCGTTGGCTCCTGTTGGAAGAAGGTAAGGTGAATGTATTGTACAGATTAACTGTGTTTTTGCAGTTCAAACATTAAAAACGAGACTCCTCTCCAAAGTACAGTATATTAATGGTATATTGAGAATATGAATTCTGACTTCTGGCACAGAATGTCTTGCTAAATGAAATCCTCTTTCCAAGAATGGTTAGACAATCAGGAAAGAAAATTAAATATTCTGAATCTGGATTTCATGTAACCTTACGATTTTTTTTAGAAGGCTGGAGAGATGTCAGGTCAGATTGCTCATCAGCTTTCTTCTCTTAATTTTTGTATTTTCAATGACCTTTGCATGTCAGGGATGATCAGGGGACC